ATCTCACCTCTTGAACATGCAGCGTGTGAAGGCATGAGGGATAACAATATATTTATTCAAAATCATATCTTGATATATTCATTGACAATTGTTTCATTCTGTAATCTTCCTTTTCACCGCTTGATTAATGTTCGACTGGTCGGGGGAAAATCAAATTGTGGCAGGAGTGCTGGTCGAAGCTTGACCTGATTTCCCGCATCTTCCCCTGCTGTTCGAAGCTGGTCAAGCGTACAGGTTGGAAGGAAGACTTGGGTCGTCAATGAGAGATCGGGCGACAGGGAGAGGTAAGGATATATCACCCATGCACTCTGCTCCTAACATTTCGGCTGCCTCACGGTGCTGCCCTCGTGAAGGCAGGTCTGCTATGTTTGAAGGGCTTGGAACTCGTTCAAGCCAGATTGCACACGGAGAGTCTTCACCCAATGCATGAAAGGCCGCGGTCAAGCGCAGCATGCTCGGAGAAGGGCTGCTTCCTTTTATTAGGGAGAACCTGGCAGCCTCGTTATCGATGAAGAATATGGCACATCTGCTGCGCAAGGTCTCTACAAAGGCATATCTAACGAGCAAGGTAGCGTAAGACTCGACTTGCGATATGCATTGCTTGTGGTCTGATCCTTCCAGCCAAGAGTTTAAGAGGGACTTAGGCGCAACACCGTGATACACGAAAGCTGCTCCGGTCAACGGATCTAAAACCACGGCGCCCCAAGTTGCTCGACCATCTTCAAAAGCACCATCGGTGAAAACAATCACACTGGCTGACATGCTGGGTCTCGACCAAACACAAGGCTTCAACGACTTGAGTCTCTTACAAGTGTACCTGCATAGGAGGGACAAATCCTGAGGCCTGAGTGATACCGGATTAGTCGACAGTTTGGCGAACGCCCGTGCTGACATCCTGAGACCATGGCCCACAAAGAACCCAGTTGCATAGTTCAACACTCCGTGAGTTGACATGGCTTCACTTCGGGTTATGGAACCTTTGTCGGCAACTGCTTCAAGTCGGCTCACCAGGAAAGAGATGCGCTCGGGCTTATTAGAAACAGTCAAATCACCCAGGTGCAGTTTGGACAAGTCAAGTCTGGCCCCTAAAAGGTTGAAGGAGCTCTCAAACTCTCTACCTTTGTCTTCATCCCTAGCAAAACGCCAACCCAAGGCATCCAGCAAGAGAGAAACCGCTCGGGACGCATTAGCCGCCATCTGCTTCATTTCGAACAGGGCAAAGTCATCATAGAACACCCCTCCCCAGAGGCGCAAGCCATGTCTCATCAAGTGCAGAAGGCTGCGCGTTATCCGGTTAAATGAATATACTGATGCAGTGCACCCAAATGGCATGCTCTGGGTAGTGAAGAAACGAGGCTTTGAAGTCACCGGGGACTGCTAGACCCAAACTGTCTGAGGCTATCGGCACTTGCTTGTAAGCTTTGCTAAGATCAAGACATCTTCCCCAAACCGAAAGATCACCAACCAAGGAGGGATGGATCATTCCTTCAAGAACCTGGCCATTCTGAAGTTCAACGGTCATGGGGCCCTTGGGATACAACAGGCCCCCCAAGGTCAAGGCTAGCGCCGCGTTGAAGTCAAGGTCATGCAAGGACAGCATCTCCAACACGGAATACGCAGAGTTGATCATGCTTTCCTTGGCGTCATCTATCACCCTAGGTTTGGGCGTAGGGCCACTGCCTTGCAGAAGCACAAACCTCCTGGTCACCACCACATCATGGTCAATACCTAAAGAGGCACGAACTTCATCCAGCGACTCGAACGGCCCTTTCACAAAACCTTTCTCCTTTTCTTTCATGGTCTCATCCCACAAGGTTTGCCTTAGGTGTGGTTCATCCTGGTGGGGAACCTTGCCTATCAGGGATTGATTACGCCACGCGGCGGATTTGATTAGCAAATCTCGCGTGGTCTGAGCAGGAACTGACTTGTCAGCATACAAGGGTGACTTAGAGGGAGTTCCCACCAACGACGTCCCCAGCATCAGCTCAAAAACCCCGCGGTCTTCGAAATCCAGGTCCTTCAAAAGCCGTTGCCACACTAACAAAGATTTGCCCTTGAGAACTTCTCTAGCGTGGGGCGGAAGCGACGCATGAAATCTGGCTTCTTCGAATTTCAGTTCACTCTTCATTTGCGCCACCTTGGCAAGGAACTTGGCCCTGTGCAGCGCCACTACTGCAGGTCCATCCTTCAAGTTGCGAAAGAGCAAGGACACAAGGTCATCACCTAGGGGGCGCTGGCTTGCAGTCGGATGTTTGATCATCTTTGCCAATCTGACAAACTGATTCATGGTATGGTAGAAGCCCACCTTATATTTGACGTTCCCGCACTCAGCCCCCGTGAAATTGAACGTATCAAGAACCTTATGGGGACCCAAGTGATCCAGGGAAGTGACATCACGAATGCGATGGAACTCTGGAATCAGGGACTGGAAGCGTGGAGCTTGCTTGCCGCGCAAAGCTAAAGCTGCAGCACGGACAGACGACGGGGGAGGCAGACTAAGCTTGAACTGCTGGCACAGGATGCGACAATAGGCCGTACACAAGTCTAAGGGATACTCTGCTTCAAGAGACGTGTCAAACACCCATCCACTGGTACCTAATCGCGCCGCAAAGGGCGCGTGAGTGTGAGAGCGGGTGCACTCACGGGCCAGCGGTTGGAGGCGGACACAATTGGTTTTGAAGCGGGTGGACTTGGGACGAGTGCCGCCACCATATTCACAGTTGTGAAAATCCACATCAAGCAAGGCGTTGAACCAGGCACTGTACTGAGAGTCGGACCGTCGGCTGACTAACAAAGCTAAGATGGACCACAACCAAGCTCGAGTAGGGTTCTCAATGACGAAGTACCGACCTGTGCGATAGCAGAAATGCATGCGCTGCTCCACGAATTCATAGAGGGCATTAGCCTTCTCGACTTTCAACTGGTTAGTGGCGCTTAAATTAGGACGGCCTAGCAAGTGGTCGGCATCCCGCAAAACAGGTGGCTCAGGAGCCCCGCGTTTGCGCAAACCACGATTGACAGGCTTCTCCCGAGCACGGGACCCAGTGCTGCATGGTGGACCTAAGTGTTCAAAGACAAAGGTGGGATCCTGCAGGAGGTGAGTCAAGGCTGCCTGACCAGACCTGTCAGTCAAGTCTAAGAACAACAAAGGATACTTTGGAGTGTGCTCATTGCGATCATGGTCCACTGCGAGAACATCGAAACCATGCAAACTTGCAGTGGAAGACAAAATTGCACTACCTGCAAAAATCTCGCAAAAACGAAGCGGTGAAGTCAGTGCCGCGCCAAGATCCTCAGTTGCTGAGGCTGACACGCGCGCCGACGGTGTTGGCTGATGCATCGAATTCTGGAGAGCAGCCGAGGCCGGAGCCTCTAGTCACTCATGCGTACATTCAGTGAAGGGCTTAGGGCGATGGCAGCCTTCACGCCAGCACAGGTGATGGCCATACTTGCACCTCTTGCCTCCCTTGGCAAACGTGCATTTGTTCTTGTTCCAGTTGCGACAGAGAACCTTACCCTCTGGAGTGTGTGAGACGCAGTCTGGGGGCAATGTATCAAAGCCTTTGCCATCTCCTTTGTGGCCACCTTTCTGCTTGAGATCTTTGTCTTTGTTCCGATCTTTGAGTTTGTCCTTGAGGACTTTGGGAGGATCACGCACTGACTGCACCGGTTGCTTAGGAAGCGGTTGGAGCAAATAACGAACCTCGACCGAGTCGAGAAGTGCTTTGATCGCCTGCCCAACAGGTTTGGTCCCGTCAGCGCGCTGGGCCACCGCACCTCGGGTGCGCTCACTCACAAGTTGCCAAAGTTTCTTGTCAGCCTCCTGCACTTGGCTCATGCTGGTATGCTGGAACCCTGGCGGCGGAGTCCGCAACATGCATGCAAAAAGATGTTCGCTCCAACTTTCAAGGTCAGTAAAATCAACCAAATGCGCAAGATCATAGGCGAGGGCCCTGCGGGTCAAGGCTTGGCGGACACGGATGTCACCTGTCAAAGAAATGACAGCATCGTCCTCTTTCTTGGAAGCCTTGACATTGCCTGATGCATCAAAGGTCAACTGATAGGCCTGCTTGACACTGGCTGATTCATGCGCTCTGGATGAAAGTGTATTCCAAGGTAACCAAGACACACACCCATCTTCCAGTTGTTGGAAAACTTTGTCGACTAGATGATGGCTTGGTTCTAGATCCATGGTTACCACAACCCCTGGGAGCCGCTGCTTCTGCAATTCTAGTCGCTCTGAGCGCTCGGCCATTGGCAATTTCCTGGCTGGAGCCCCTTCGGTCCGCTCCACTCTGGTACGAAGATCTGACAAAACCATTGTATGCGCCTCAAAGAAAAGACGTCGAAGAGGCGGCGTCTCCTGTGTGGTGGGGCTGCGTCCTAAAGCTGCTTCAAAAGCTCGCAGTAAAGGTGTTTCGTCTGCCTGGCCAGGTTGATAGGGCGATGCAAACGCTAGAGTGCCAAAAGTGTTCAGGTTTGCATCTTTGAGTTTCTCTAGCACGCTCTCTGAAAGGCCAAAAGCTTTAGCACGGTCTGCAAAAAGGGCGGCACTATCTAAGGCGCTCATGGCGATCAACGCTGGAGATTAGCTACACTCAAACGTCCACATGGAGAAGGTGCTGAAGTTCACTGAGCCAGGGTAAGATGCCTGGAGTGCTTAGTGACTTGATGCACAATCTGCAAATGAATTGGCTGAATACATGAAGTATGTTCTTCATGCTGAGGCCAAAAGGAAGCAAAGAACGTAAGGAGTGAGGGCGCTAATAGAAGAATCCGGCGTACAAATCAGCCTAGATTTGTTCTGGGTCCGCGCGCGCGCGCGCGCCTTTGAGGGCTGTTTTGGGGAGCCCGGGGGGCGCGCGCGCGCGCGCGCGCGGACCCAGGGTTCTATACAGTTTGTTTTTGTATAAACTGGAGGAAAGAAATGCAACGACTCGGTTTACGTGTCTGCCATGCCTGCTGGCAAAAAGGTTCCCTCTCTTTTCTTCCATCAGGCGGATGCGGGGTAGTTGATGTATGAGGCAGACGAAGTGCACTGCATGCACAACGCCAACTCTTCCAAAATCTCATAAGGCCCGATGTCAGAATAGTTCTGATTCAGGACACGTCCACACTTGAACTTCGACTTCGAACCCTCAGAAAGCACATGAACGACTCTTGAGTGAATGTGCTGCTTGCAAATCTCCAGGAGCTCCTCAGGCGGGACTGTTGCCTCCAATGGTCTTGGCCCCAAATTGACGCCCAAACAATGACCCAAATCCTCCTCGTCCACGTCCGAGTCAGGCAACGGCCTAGGACTGGGGTCCATAGAAGCAGATTCCAACTGAGTATCCAACGCCAGCGATGCCAAACGCTCCACTCTGGGCGCATCGGGGTCAAGCACGCCAGTTCGGATGAGCTGGAGAAGCCCATGCACAACAGCCATCAATCGAGTGCACTCGTCTCGCGAATATGTGAGAGGAGAGATTGTGTTGCGGTCCGTGTGATGGCCGATCAACCGTCTGTCTTCAAAAGACACACGTGCAGACTTTGATGCCCACGCCAAAATGGTTGCTTTCAAAGTGTGTGAAGAAACCTCCTTGGCCTCCTCTGCTGGGCAGCCTGCTTCGGTGAGAATCTCACGCAGCAAACAGGTACATTCGCCTGTAGTCAAATTGCGATCAAGCAGACTTCCATCGATCTCAGAGCGAGCCGGGATGTTGAACTCGGAGTCTATGATCATATGCTGCCTTGCTGCACTCCAGGGTCGGGCCCAAGAGTTGTTGATGAGTCCACGCCCCAAAGCCAATAAAGGAAGGAAACGCGTTTTCTTCTCTTTCGAGGTTGCAGTCTTGTGGGTCTGGGTGTCGGTCTCAACCAAAACAATGCCTCTTGCTTCCGAGACTTCCACCCTGTTGATGTACCGGGCATCCGCAACCCTGCAAGAGGAATACAAGCAAAAACACAGATGCCCCGCAACCAGCCGGATATACTCATCAGGATGGTCACACGCAGCGTGTTCCAGAGTCTCTACCATGGTGACTGTGAGAGGAGGAGCCTGGCGCAATATGGGTTCTTCGTCTCATACATTGCACGAACTGAGCCTCTCACCCTGGGCGATGAGATGTCCGAAAGTTTCCATCCCTTGCATCCCAGCAGGGTATGGGCAAAATTCAATGCTTGCACAAAAGATGCACCTGAGGTTGCGCCCGCATTTGAGTCTCTGAGATGGCAAATGTAATCATAAGTCAATGGCTCGGTGAAGTCAAGAGGTGAATCAACTCCTCTATCACGAGCCCATTTGCTATACCTAATGAGTGCAGCTGAATGTTTCAAAAGGGTGCTCGTTGCCTTTCCAGCAAACACATCCTCAAACATCCTGGCTAGTTGGCTTCCGGAGCGAAGGGACCCTGCTTCACTCAACAAACATCTACCTACCTCCGAAATCTGGCAGTCAATCAAGACCAAGGTTTTGAAACGGCCCAGCGCTATCCATCGTTGGTGGTCTGGCGATGTCACGAATGAAGTTGCCCTCAACCGACGCTTGCCCAAAGCATGAGCCGTTAAGGGACTAGCTGAACTACTGGAGTGATGTCCCAAAACTGCTTCTGCGCTTCCGATCACTGGCGTGAGCATCAAAGGGTCAGAACGGTTCCCGAACACCTTCTGCAGTGGGCCTGTTTCCCACGGCATCTTCGGCAATCTGTCGCCTTTTTGTTTGATCCATTCGTTGACAGCGACCAAACTCAAAGGGGGAGAAGGTTCGGAAGTAAACAAGTCTTTCAGGGGATCAGTAGTCTCAGGCAGTGCGCACGTCGGCTCAGGAGGGGCTGCAGTAGTCAGACCTACCGCGTCCTCGCACAAAGCGCCTTGCAACTTACGCTCAAGACTAGTAAATGAGTCACTGCTAGCATCTGATCTAGGGCTCGAGTTCATGCTACCCTTGATCCAAATACACATCATGCTCACAGTTCGCTGCGCTTGCTGCAGGCTTAGTTGCCTGCTAAAGGTGCACACTGCGGGGGGTTTGCCGGTGACCAGCCGTTGCCTACGCAAGTGCCACAAGATCAAGTTCTTATGCACTGCACGACGGCGTGACGCAGTTTCCCACAAGTTGTTTTCCACAAATCAAGAGTCAAGACGTGTCGAACGCGAAATCATCACTGGAGTACCATTTAAGTACTTCAATGAAAACACGATCTAAGTCGGAGCACAATCAGGATGTCTGATCGTTACAATCACGCCTCTCACCCGAAATCCTCACCGCTTGCAAGAGGAGGCGTTGAAATCACTATCCTCTCACATGGCTTCGAGACCCCCGGATCCCACTCTTTTCGAGATGAGAGAGGCGCCCGCCGCACCCAACCCTGCTTGAAGGGAAATGTGACACATTATATATAATGAGCATTCTCAAACTCGATATGGACCGGATGATCGAAGTCCGAAGGAGTGTCGAGGGTTTACAATTGAGATGGAGCTGTTTTACAATCTCCTCTCAAAAAAAAATTAATGGAAAGTTAAACGGATCAACGCCTTATGTTTACGCTCGCACAGCTCGCCAAGAGTTATAGATAGTACTGTCTACGCGTAGAAATCACCATCTCACCTCTTGAACATGCAGCGTGTGAAGGCATGAGGGATAACAA